ACTTTCCTAATATCTTAATCTAAATTTTATACTATACCAAAAGATACTGAAGTTATAGTATTAGTATGCATGCGATGTCCTTGGAAAATAAGTATAATCAGTTAACAATTTCTTTTGAATAGAATTAGTTAACAAAATTATACTAATGTTTATAGATCATTATTTACAAATAATTTCTCACCTGGGTCACAATAATGTTACTTTAAGAAATCAACTTGAGTTTGTATCTTTTTTTGACATAACTTCCAGTTTATCTATATCTTTGTTACCATATTCAATATGCTCTGGTTAATCATACGAATTATCATACACCAATTGCCTTCACAAAGTTAAAATGTTCTATATTTTAACAATGTGCGCTAATAATTTGTGATGGATGCATGGCATTGAGAAAAGCATAAACATGCTAAATTAATCCAAGAAAAGGAGAAAAATAGCCGATGATTTGTCATGGATGCCATTGAATTTGCATCAAACGGCAAACTATTAGCTGGCGATGGAGGTGGTTGAATTATTGCTATATTTAAGTTGTAAAACAAGTTTGCTTTACATTCCCGCGCCTCTAATACTTGATATGGATACTCTATGAAGGAGATTACATGTGGTTTGTATTTTGACGATTTTATTTTTTGCGCATTGAAAAGTCACACGTGTGTCAGTCAGGAATAAGTCAAAGATGGGTTGTACTTGATTTGCCAATGAATACTGGATTCATATACAACTCTACAGCAGGACATATGTTTTTTACAGCCGAGAATGAAGATATTATCAGAACAATCCAAGTTTACATGTCTACTTATTAAACCCATAAAAAGCTTCCTTGGCAGAGCTGGTAAGATAATAATGAGAAGCAATTCAGAAAATTTGCCTTACTTTATTTTTCCAGATGGTTCCACTGGGGCTTTTCCTCCACCAGATATTCCCCGACAATCCACCGTTTCACGTTTCCTTTTTCTACTATGTTACAATGCACATTTAGGGATAGATATACTATTTAAATTTAATGAATTTTGATTTAATTTGATTCTATTAAAATATATTTTTTAAAATATTAAAGTTTACGTTTATTTTCAGATTGGTTTGAATTTAAATTTTAAGTGAAAAATATATAATCAGATCTAATTCAAAAAATAATATAATTATACTTTATATATTTAAAGATAATTATAATAATATTTTTTATATTATTTTGTCAGTCAAATTTCTATTTTTATTAAATAAAATAAATAATTTTTTCATAAATATATTTTTTCAGATCAAATTAAATTAAAATCAGAATTTATCACATAAAAAATTCAAATTCAGATAAAATAAAATCATCCTAAACTTAATCAAATTACATTAAAAATTAAAAGTGTATACTTTTTGAATGAGGTCAAATTAACTAGAAACCCGTGCACATCCACTAACCCTCTTTCCATGGTATTACTCCTTTGCTCTCTCCCTTAACAATTTTTTTTGGCTATAAATACGAGAAATTCTCCTCTTGTTTTCCGCACATAACAGTAAGATATAGACACGAGAAACCAAACACAAGTCTCTCCATTTTTTGTTTCGGTCATGGCTATCTCCAAGGCTTTGATTGCCTCACTTCTCATTTCTCTTCTCCTTGTCCAACTTGTCGGTGCTGATCAACTGGTAAAGCTTGACCACTTTTTTTTCTTGAATGATTGCTAGATGAGAAGTAACCTTAATTTAAGCTACACGTTGATGTGAAACACAGGTCACAAGTGCTAGCAAGGGAACCGCTCCCCCAACGGAAATCGGTAAATATCATCGATCCTCGGTGGTATCGAGAAATTGGACTGAGACACTTCATTGACATATCGATTTGTGTTTGTTTGTTTGTTTTTTCAGACTGCGGTGGGGCGTGTGCGGCGAGGTGCCGGTTATCATCGAGGCCACACCTATGCAATAGGGCTTGCGGGACATGCTGCGCACGCTGCAACTGTGTTCCACCGGGTACCGCCGGGAACCAAGAAATGTGCCCTTGCTATGCTAGCTTGACCACCCACGGTGGCAGACGCAAGTGCCCTTGAGTTTTTAATCAATTTGGAATTTCTCCTTTCAGCTTTGTGGTGAAATAAACGAATTGCATGGTGTAAGAATAAATAAATTAAAAGTGTGTCATTCGTGAAGCACAACTCATTTAGTTAGTGGTTTCTTTCCTTTCTTTTTGCGACGTTATATGACTAATGATTTGTTAGCTTGAATTTTAATGTGTTATATTTTAACGAATAATAATGAAGTTTGTAATCATATTTGGTGAATAGTATTTTGATTTTTAATGCATGTACGTGTGTTCTAAATGGGTTTGGTAGGGCAAATGATCAGCCTTGGAAAAAGAAGACAACCTGTGTCCTAAAAAACAAACGATTATATGCCTGGTTCTTAAAGGATGAGTTGTAAAAGCATACTAAATTGATTATATTTTAAAGAGGAGTGTTTATGCTCAGTTTAACCCTTTATATAATCATTGTTTAAAAGAATCTTCTATTTCAAGATTGAATTCAAACAAACTTCATTTACATCTCGATCAATATTGGTCCTAGATGCTCTTAATTATCTCGATCAATATGATCCTAGGTGCTCTTAATTTGTATCGTGGAAGACGTAAATTTTCTCGACATATCAGCGGGGCAAAGCGTCATGGGAAATTTTAAAAACAAATTAAATATGGAAATCGAATTGGATGTTGATCATATAGTCCATATTGGGAAAATAAATATGATTAAATATCTTTCATTCATTTATTTATTGGACAGTAAAAATGAAATGAGGAAAAATGGCAGATAACTTAATCCATATCTCTGCTCATTAGTCATTATTGATTATTCTGACAATTAAACATCAACGTACTTTACCTTAGGGTAGAATCCAGCACATGTATCTAGAATATTACCTCTCTAGCCCTAGAGATGGCATGAGACTTGAGGGTTTGATTTGAGCTGATTAGATTGAGTTTTTTTTTTAAAAATAAATTCGAATTTAGGTTTAGTCAGATTTTTTTAAATGTGATGTTTGAGTCATGTTAGAATTAAATTTAGAGTAAAAATATCTAACCTGATTAGATATAAAAAAAATATAATTTTACTTATATAATTACAACAATACTCCTATATATATTTTATTTTTTTCAATTAAATTATTATTTTTATTGAATAAAAATAATATTTTTATTATTATTTTGGGTGAATTCAGATTTTATCTCAAAAAATCAAGTTAGATTCAAGTCAAGTCATTGATATAAAATTTTTAAATTGAGCCGAAATCCGGCCCAAGTCCAACCCATGCCCATCCTGTCTAGCTCGCTTAAATAGCATAGCAGGTCAGCCCCTGTTGATCATACATTTTGTTTCCAAGTAATGGCCGTCTCCAGGACTCTTTTACATCTGCTTCTTGTTTCTCTTTTTGCTGTTACTTTATCTTGCTCAGTCGCCTGATCCAATGGTAAAATCCCATTTCTATATAATGTTGTTCTTAATATTCCTATATACCATGTAAGATTCTGGCCCATTTTTATGTATTGCAGGTGATCAAGAACACGGCAGAAGAACATTCCATGACTGATGAGGAAATAGGTAACAATTAGTAATTTCATTTTTTTGTTTCAATGTTATAAATGATGTTTATGCTTGGTTTAGATTGTGACGAAGCTTGTGGGGAGAGATGCAAGTTATCGTCGAGGCCGAACCTTTGAAAGAGAGCATGTGGTACGTGCTGCGATCGGTGCCATTGTGTCCCTCCGGGGACCTCCGGCAACTATGATGTGTGCCCATGCCACCGTGACATGACCACCCACGGCGGCAGGCATAAATGCCCTTAATAAACCTTATAATCTGGTTTAATTACGAGTTAAAGTAAAATTTTATTGTAGGATTTTCGAAGTAACTAAATAATATTTTAATTGCAGTGTAAAAGATATATGTGGTCCAAAGTAATATGTAATTTAGTAATGAATGCATTGCAAATCCTACAAGATTGAATAAGAGCATCCTAATGGTTTTTATACTCACCTTTACTGTACTTTTACAACTTTTTAGTTTCTTTATGATTAGTTATCTTTTTAGTTTTCAACAAACGATCAATATCATGAAAAAAAATCACAATAAAAAATATTCTTTCATGTTATAATCCCTTAAAATTTATTAAGGTCAGTGTTGATTAATTTTAACAATTTAGAATTCCTTACCACACTACTGAAAGGAATTTTTTTGTGATATGATCCAAATTATATGATTCACATTTTCCAATTTCTTTATTTTTTAAAGAATTAATTTTATTTAAAATAAGAAATATCCAAATTATAATAAAGATTTACCATCACAATTATAAATTTAGCATGTAATTAGAAATTTTTCTATAATCATTGAAACAAAACTGTCAACTTAAGATAGCATAAAGACCATAAAGAAAAGATTAAAACTCTAATCAAGAAACTCGAACAAAGATAGATACAAATACACCTGATCACATCAACAAACGAACCACAAAAGTAGATCGAGCTATTGAAAGACATCCGACAAACCACAAATCAAACTCAAGTAATGTGAAAACCACAAACTACAAAAGGAGATCGAAAGTCTAAAATGGGAAAGATCAACATGATATTATATATACGCCATCTTAATTAGTCACGAAAATTTCAAATCAATCATTAAAAAAATAAATAAAGAAATGGTGAAGCCACTGGAATACATGCCAATAGGCAGAAGAAAACTGTAATTGTCGAGAAGAATTGAGATTTCATAGAGTTGAAAACGTACTTGGAAAAGAATAAGAGAGGTTAATTCTTTCAAATCCTTTTTCATATTCTTGGTAATCTGTTACATTCTGTATTTATTTACAACGGTTATGACAACCCAATGGGAATACTATTCTGGGCCAATGCTAACCCAAACCCATTTACTAACCCTTTGACCCATTTAACCAATACGGTACCGCTTAACTGCAACACGATTAATAACGTCTCTTCTCAGATTTCCCTAACCCATTCTAATCCCAAATCTTAAAGAACGAACCTTAATCCCCAATCCCTCTCAATCCTCCTCACCATCAGTCACGAGCTCCGCCCTCTATTCATAACAATACCCCCGCTACAATTGAGCATTGTCCGCAATGTTCAAAATCAGAAAACTGGGACTTCAAGACGGTGTAATCCTCCAAGTTGGCGTCTTCGGCTCCGAGATTTGTTTACTGAATCAGCAACTGAGTCGCCGCCTGATTGTTTCTCTTAACAATTCGTTTGTCCAAGACCAAAGCTGGGTAAACTCCCAACTAGTCATCGTCTCCAAGTTCTGATGGATGTAGAGAGGTAACAGTGTTATGACGAATTCGTTTTTTTCAATAGGCTGACATGGAATAGAAGATTAATCCTGGAAGTCTGTGACAGCTGTAATCTGTAAACAACTAATCCAATTCGTTCTAATACTTTGTAGGGTCTATAAAAGCAAACATATAGCTTCAGATTCTTCCTCAAAGCCACTGTGGTTTGTCTATAGGGTTAAAGCTTAAGGTAAACCTCGTCCCCAACTTGAAATTCTATTTCTGAACGTCGTTTGTCTGCAATTTGTTTCATTATGTGTTGTGCTTTAGTTAGATTCTCCTGTAGGGTTTTGTAAATTTGCTCTCTAGTTCGTAAAATTTGTTGAACACCATGAACTTGAGAGTCCCCAGTCTAGCTCACCATGGGTGCTGATACCCATAAAAAGCCTCGAATGGGGTCGTTCCCAAGGCAGTATGGTGGTTAGTATTTTACCACCATTCTGCTTGGTGCAACCAATTAGCCCACGTTTTTGGTTTCTAAAAACAGTAACTCCTGAGATACTGCTTGGGACATTGGTTTAAGCGTTCAGTTTGATCATCTGTCTCTGGGTGATAAGAAATGTTAAACAGTGTTGTAGTCCTCAACTGCCTCATGAGTTCTTTCCAAAACACACTGGTAAAAATAAGATCTCTGTCAGGAATTGCAACCTATGGCTGACCATGCAACTTGTAGGCTTGGTTAAGATACGTTTTAGCAACCTATGTTGGAGTATATGGGTAAGATAACCCAATAAAGTGCCCACACTTTGTAAATTTATCAATCACCGCAAAATACAGTTGAATTTATTATAAGTAGGCAAACATTCTATAAAATCCATAGTAATAACTTTCCAGGCTTGTTGTGGAATTGGAAGTGGTTGCAGTAATAGCCCTGGCTTAAGGACATGCTCATTTTTAACCCTCTAACATTTTTCACACTGTTTAACATGATCTTGAATTGTCGTTTTCATGGAAGGCCAATAAAAATAGGAGTGCAAATGTTTGTAAGTTTCATTAATTCCTGAATGACCTTCCTTTGGAGAGTCATGAAACCCGATTAGCAAATGCTCTCTACCAATATAGATTTTCTCTTTGAACCCTTCATATACTGCCAGTCTTGCCAAGCCTAATAATTAACTGCAAGGGCTGGAATAATTTTCTAGTCTAATTCATCACTAGAATAACTCCCTTCTATATCATGTACCCATTGTGGAATAATTACCAATGCTAAAATTTGGCATAGGGTAGAGTGTTCCTCATGGCTTCTAGATAATGCATCTGCTACCATGTTGTGTTTTCCTTTTCTGTAGTGTATCACATAATCAAGCCCCAATAGTTTTGTTAGTCCTTTTTTTCTGAATGACAATAGTAAGCTTTTGTTCCAATAAGTGTTTTAAAGGTTCATGATCAATATTAATAACAAATGGTCTCCTTTCTAAGTAATGCCTCCATTTGGAGACTACCATCAAAATAACTGTTGAGTTAATCGATCGATGAAATAGGCCAAGAGGGGGTGAATTGACAATAAAAGTTTCGGTGGAAGCTTTTACAGAAAATTGAAAATATTTGCACAACAATTTAGAGTGGTTCGACTTTCTCAACCAAAGTCTACATCCACTACCTTAGCTATCCACACTAAGGATTTTTCACAAATTCACATCAAAGAGTAACCTTACAAATCTCTCAAGAATTATACCCTAAATTCTTGAGAACACTCTCTCCCAAAGAAAACAATATAAATTTTGCAAACTTACAAGAAAATCCTCACAAAGAAGGATGTTTGTACAATTCTAGAACAAAGAAAGAACACTCAAGAATAATACAATTGAGCATAATAAGTGTCCTTGAAAGAAAAAATGAATATTGAATTAAATAGGCTTGAAAATGCTTCAAACTTGAGGTTTGATGCATTCTCTTTGATTCTCTCTTGATTCTTGATAATTATTGTTGATCAATGGCTCCTAAGCTTGTTTAAATACTCTTTGGATCATTTCTGAACGTTGGGGATCATTAGTAGAGTTAATAGAGCCGTTAGTGTGTGAAAACAATTAATAAAACAGCTTGTAGCGTGGGGGGTATCGATACCTCCTGGGGGTATCAGTACCCTTCGAGCAATCTGTTATTTCAAGGAGCCAAATCTTACATAGGGGTATCGGTACCCTCTTGGGGGTATCGGTACCCTCTAGGCAATCTAGTTTTTCGGTTTAAGATTTATTAAGAAAATATTTTTGGCTCGATTAAGGCTCGAAATACTTTGTAAAATTGTTTAAAAGCTTAAAACACATTTTCACACTTGAGTAAGGATTGAAATTGTCATTTGAAAAACTTGGAGTAATATTTTGATATTCGAATAGTTTGATCGAATATATATTTGAAGATGATTAGAAAATCTTGAAATCCAATAACATTTAATTTGTTATATCGAAACATCAAAATGTTTTCAACAATCTCCCCTTTTTGATATAATAAAACATTTTAGTAATTTTAAGATTTTCTAATTGAAAATCATTTTTGAAATCAAGTTTTGAAATTAAGTTTTGAAATTACCCTTTGAAATTACTTTCCCTTACTCTAATACCTTGAAAATAAATTACTCCCATTACTCTAATACTTCTCCCCCTTTTGTTAAATCAAAAAGATATTAAAACAGATTTAAACAAGATTTTTGAAAGTTAAGCCAATTGATAGATTAAAGAAAGCGTAAGCTGCTAAGATCACAATCAAGAGAATGTTAGCCATTAGTTCCATAATTCAATATTAAAAATAATGTGAAATGGTAAATTGGTCATATTGCAACTATAATGTAATTTATGCAAAAACATAAACCAAACCAAATAAATATAAGCTTTCAAAGTTTAAGCATTCAACATCCATAACAAATTCAAACATTCAATCCAAAAACATAAAAATGTTTAACAATTCAAAGTTCTAATTCTAAGGTTAATCTTGAGCAAAATCGAAACTAGGCAAGGTCTACTCCATTGGAGGATCGATAGGAGATAGATGTGTCCATATATTAGCCACATCTCATGTAAGCGCATCGAGTCTATCGTCTATAGCATTGAATCGAGTATTCATTGCTTCACGGTTAGCTCGAATCTCTTGTTGATTCTCCAATTGTTGAGTCCCCATAACCGATAAATGGGACTCTATGGATGTAAATCGTGAATCCATTGATGCATACCAGAAGTCGAATGTCTCCATAAAAGATTAAAAATATGGAGGCATTCGATCCTCTTGTTGTGCTTGTTCCTCGTGCTGCTCCGACTCTGTAACATCCTAACTCATACCCGACCCGAATACGAGTTTGAGATGTCACATTGACTTTTTAAAATGATTTCCTTATAAAATAACTGAACTTATATTAAGAAAAATAATAATACTGTTAAATTAGGTTTCTTTATAAAAAATTGAAAAAATACGTATTTATGAACAATACTATATGGTATGAACAGTGAAAAATTTCGAATATCAATTTTGTATTGATGCACTGCTACAGTAACTTTCGTATAACGTTCATAAAACTCGTAAAAATTTAACCGTATTATTATACATTTGCCATTTACATATAAACATTTAAAACATTACAAAACTCTATCATATGATTTTACAAACCGATTAGAACATATCGGATTTAAACCTTTGTTTACATGCCAACTACTATCCTTATTACAAAATACATAATATACATTTCTTTTCTGATCTGATCTTTGGAAAGGAGGAACTAACCTATCTTGCATAACTTTTATCAATTTTATTTTTCTCGGAACCTACGCGTGAAACAATCACACGCTAAGTCGTTGACTTAGTGAGGCATATAAAACATATAATAGAAATTATAGAACATTTCTATACACATCATGGATCACATATATCCTTTCACAACATAACACACATAGTATTATACCAATTAATTTATTTACTCTCTTTAAAGCCATTGTATGAGCCCATGTATACTTTTGAGAAATTAAGGTATGCGAGTACATTGAGGTTGTGCATCACTATGCTGTTACCACAGCTCGTATAAATATCCCGAAAGACCTATCTAGAGATCATAAATAACCTCGACAACTGTCTATAGGTCCCGAAGAACCTAGATAAACTGTCCATATGTTCCTTAGAACATAGGTATAATGTCCATATGTCCTGAAAGACATAAGTAATTCTGTCCATATGTTCCGTAGAACATAGGTAAACCCTCGACTCTTGGCATGTCAACTATACCACTAGCTCTCATATTACATAACATGGGCATTATCATTTATAACAGTTCACATCACTTATTCATATAATTTATCTTATAAACACATATATCTTCTTTTCTGTCACATATCACGTGCATATAATCACGTAGTTTACTTTCATGTAATTCATGTCACTTTTCATATGATTTTATAATTATATGTCACTTAGCTTATAATACTTCTCTTGTGTTCATATGACATGTAAATCATTGTCATCTCTTGTTCTCATATGCTTCACATACATCATATATATCACATTCATATAGGCTCATGATTTTATCACCTTTCATGTTATTTCACCTATACACTTTTATATCACATAAACCCATATCTTCTTATCCCATAACTTCTTATTATATCATTCACCTCATATAACTTATTGTCACATAATCTCCTTTTACCTTATCAATAAATACTACTTATTTTATCTCACCTTTCCATTTATTTACATAAACCAAAGAGCATTTACAAGAACATATCCACTCACATAATTAAGCATACATACATTTCATGTCATTCATTTCATTCTCTATATCCTTAGCACATAGCTTATTTTATTTCTCATGTTCCGGTAGTTCATTATCACCTACTGCATATACATGTAAGCATGTAGATCATGTCACATATAATAACATGTACCTATTTCCATGTATTCATACACACATAAGAATCATATAGTGTATCTCATAGACATCATTTCCATACCTTTATCACATAGAACATATAACTTTTCCTGCATATTCATGTCACATAATGTATATGGTATGAACTCATATCATGTTTCATAATATGAAATGAATCCTATATCAAAATATTAAATCTAGACTTATCACAAGTCTAGAACTGAATATACTACTAAAATCATGCTATGCATATTCACTTAACTTTGCTTGCTTTGATTCAATCCTAACTCTTCGATTGTTTCGTAACTCGTTTAGGCT